CTCTCTCTCTCACACACACACACACACACACACCACTTCATTTCTGAGTCATTTGCTGGCATGCTCAGTGGGACTTCATTCAGTCTGTCCTGAACTTAATTGAATTAACTCTCAGACACACACACACACACACACACTAACTCACTCACACACACTCTCTCTCTCTCTCACACTCACACACACCTGCTGCAGGTTGTGGTAGAGCTGCTGCTGTGTTGAGCTCCCAGGCGTGGGGTCCTTCAGACTGCTGTGAGCTGCCCGCAGCGCTGCCTGTCTGTCAAACATGTGAGTGCTCTGCCGCTCCAGAAACTGACGAGCCCTGAAGAGAGACACGCTCTCATTCCACATGTACTGCCTCACTCTGAGAGAGAGAGAATAACACACAATAACACACACTCCAAACCCTGCTCCGCTGTCCTGCTGTAACTGAACCATCTCTGAAGACGCAAAGCACTGTTTGGAGTCTGTCTAACACATTGCCAGCTGCTTCCACCCCTGATTCACACAAACACTCACTCGTCTACGCTGGTGTCGCTGGCGTCTGACCGCAGCAGCGGAGCCTCCAGATCCTCCAAACGCAGACCGTTCTCTGTCTTTCTCTTGCTCTTCTTCTGCTCGTCCTCTGCTCCGTCCTGCTGCTGTTCTCGCTCCGCTCTGCTCCTCTGCTCCAGTTCACTGCACACACACACACACTTGTTTATACTACTTTGTGGGGTCCTAATGTCTCCACGAAGATGGTAAAAACAGAAATATACTAAGACAACATCTTAAAAATGATAATAAAGAATGTTTAATAGAATGTTAAAACTCACAACAGTATGGACCTAACCTACACCAACCCTAAACCTACCAGTCACAGAAACCTAACTTCATTTTAACATTTTTATATATATAAGAATGTTTAGAACATTTGTATGTAAGACTGTTAGATATAAGAACGTTGAAACATTTTTATATATACTGTAAATATATTCTGTGAAGGGGTAGCGGTCCCCACATGGGAAAAAAAATATTCAAAATAGTAAATGATGTTTATGTGAAAGTGTAAGAATGCAAACAGGTTTTCTGTAAGGGGTAGGTTTAGGGTTAGGGGATAGAAAATATCATTTGCTCAGTATAAAAGTAATAGAAGTCTATGAAAAGTCCCCACAATTCACAGAAACAAACGTGTGTGTGTGTGTGTTTGGTGATGATGAGTGTTACCTGACTCTGGAGGTCAGCTGCTCACATCGCTCCTGCAGAAGCGTGACTCTGGCCTCCAGCTCCCGTCGCTCCTCCATCATCCTGCTGTTCTCCTCTCTCTGTCGCTCTCGCTCCTGTCTCTCTCTCTGCAGATCTGCTCTCATCCTCTGCAGCTCCTCACGCAGCTCATCCCGCTCCTTCAGCAGCTGCGAGAGAGACTGCACACACACACACACACATCAGATACACACACACACACACACACAACACACACACACCAGACACACACACACACACATCAGATACACACACACACACACACACACATCAGATACACACACACACACCAGACACACACACACACCTGTAATCCTCTCTGAGCGTCCTCCTCTTCCTCACACAGCTGCTGTCTCCTCTTCCTCAGATCTGATGCCTGATGATGATCAATAAACAGCACTGTTAGTATTGAGGTAGAACTGTAATAAAACAATTAATCTGAAGTAAATGAGAAACTACAAATAAACTAATCAACAACTACTGTAAAAAAAACAAAAAAAACTACAACCAAACAATCTTTGAATGTGATGAAATAAAACTAAACTGAAATAATAACCAAAACCAGTGGAACTGAATAGCATACACATTAGAACGAAGAATTAAAATAAAGCACACAAAGTTTTGAACCTTTGACTGAAGTTCAGCCTCCTGAGTTTGAAGTTCTTTGGTTTGTATCTCCAGCTTCTCCATCCACTCCTGTAGAGTTGACTCCTACAGACACACACACACACACACACACACGCACGCGCACACACAAACACACAATATTACATTCCAGTCACAAGCAGTCTGTCTGTCCACATGAGGTCACAGCCAATCAGAAGAGTGTGTGGGCAAAGTCTGTAAGCACCGTCTGGATGAGTATATGATCAAATTAATACAAATTAAGCCTTTTTAAGGTGATTAAAAATACATTCTCTGATACAGTCTTTGTCAAGGGTGCACATGTTTAAAGTTTGGATGTGCTCATTTTATTTATTCTTCAGATCTGAGGTGAATGACCATGAACACACGCGCTGACAGTGTGCTGAGTGTGTGTGTGTGTGTCTGCGCTGCCCTTCTGAGAGTGTGTCCTGCGCATCTCCTGCAGCTGTGTGTCCAGTGTGTGCTGTAGTTTGTGTAGTTGTGTTGTGTGTTTAGAGATCACAGTGTCTCTCTCTTTCTGAAGAGAATCCAGCAGACGCTCCCGCTCCCTGCTCTCCTGTACACACACACGCACGCACAGTCACACACACACACACACACACACACACACACACAGGTTTGTTTTTGTGAAAAGTGGGGACTCTCCATAGGTGTAATGGTTTTTATACTGTACAGACCGTATATTCTATTGCCCTACACCAACCCTACCCCTAAACCTACCCCTCACAGGAGACTTTCTGCTATTTCAGATTTTCAATACACTCCATTCTGTGTGATTTATAAGCGTTTTGAAAAGTGGGGACATGGGGTAATGTCCTGAAAAGTCACCTTCTCCTTGTAATACCTGTCATACCTTTGTCATTATACACATTTATGTCCTCATTTGTCACACAAATGCGCACACAGTTACACACACACACACACACTCACTGCATGTGCGTGTATGTGCGTGCGAGCGTGTGTGTTTGACTGTGTGTGTGTGTGTGAGAGAGTGTTGTACCTGCTCCAGATGTGTGTGTGTGTGTGTGTGTGTGTGCGTGCGAGCGTGTGTGTTTGACTGTGTGTGTGTGTGTGTGTGAGAGAGAGTGTTGTACCTGCTCCAGATGTGTGTGTGTGTGTGTTGTACCTGGTCCAGGTGTGTCTCTCTCAGGTTCTGTAGCTCCTGTTGATGTTCCTCCTTCAGTTGTTCTAGTTTCCTCCTGTGATCTCTCTCAACCTCCTCCCGGACTTCCTGCAGCACATCTGTGAGCTAAACACACACACGAACACACTCCAGTCAGAGCTGCACAATATCAGGAATAAAATCCCAACACGGCTTCATGCAGTTATGAACTGGCAAAGGCTGTGATTTAATTCAATCACTGTCAGCACTGTGTGTTTCAGAGTGAAGCGTGTCTCTGTTCATGTATACGTCAGCAGCTCATGATATGCTGGTGTTCAGCGTCTCAGAGCGACTCGATTCAGTTACTGATCCACATGAGCTCCATCTGCATCTGCTCGGAGTTTGAGTGGCTTTAACATTCGTTTGGAAACGCAACACGTCAACCTTCTTCACAAATGTGTAATTAGAAGCGTTTATCAACAATAGAGCAGCTTTAAGGCTCTGTGAGGTTTTCCATCAGAATAAAAGTTGGCTGGCTTAGCATTTAAAAATGAATAAATTAAGATTATAAATAGTATAATTTTACAGTTTTACTGTAAAACAAAATAACCTAACACTAACCCCTAAATGAGTAAATTATTATTTTTCTTAAATACTTATTTTTTATTTTTCAGTGAAATATTGCAATAGTAATTTGTTATTTTGTTTAATATCTTTATTTATTGGTAATAATAATAATAATAATAATAATAATGTGTGTGTGTGTGTGCTGTACCTCTCTCTGGTACTCTGCTAAAGGCTGTTCTGGTCGTGTCCTCCTCAAATCCTTCTGTGTGTCACTCAGTTTAGCCTGACAAACACAACAGTGTTAAACACACACACTTATATACACACTTACTGCTCTCTCTCTCTCTCGCTCTCTCACACACACACACACACACACACTGTATTACCATTGGTGGATTCTCACACACACACACACACACACTGTATTACCATTGGTGGATTCTCACACACACACACACACACACTGTATTACCATTGGTGGATTCTCACACACACACACACACACACTGTATTACCATTGGTGGATTCTCACACACACACACACACACACTGTATTACCATTGGTGGATTCTCACACACACACACACACACACTGTATTACCATTGGTGGATTCTCACACACACACACACACACACTGTATTACCATTGGTGGATTCTCACACACACACACACACACACTGTATTACCATTGGTGGATTCTCACACACACACACACACACACTGTATTACCATTGGTGGATTCTCACACACACACACACACACACTGTATTACCATTGGTGGATTCTCACACACACACACACACACACTGTATTACCATTGGTGGATTCTCACACACACACACACACACACTGTATTACCATTGGTGGATTCTCACACACACACACACACACACTGTATTACCATTGGTGGATTCTCACACACACACACACACACACTGTATTACCATTGGTGGATTCTCACACACACACACACACACACTGTATTACCATTGGTGGATTCTCACACACACACACACACACACTGTATTACCATTGGTGCACTCTCACACACACACACACACACACACACTCTCATACACACACCTGTAGTCTGATGGAGGTCAGCTGCTCCTCCTTCTTCTCTTGTAGCCACCTCCTCTCAGCCCGGAGCTCCTCCTCTGACTCCTCCCTCAGGTGCTCAAGGTCCCGCCTCCTCAGAGTCTCCACCCTCTCTCGCTCCGCCTCCAGTTCTGAGCACAGCTCCTGCAGCTTCACCTCATTCTCAAGCCTGAACACACACAAGGGACGAGTGTGTGTGTGTGTGTGAATGCACCGATGGTGATACAGTGTGTGTGTGTGTGTGTGTGAATGCACCGATGGTGATACAGTGTGTGTGTGTGTGTGTGTGAATGCACCGATGGTGATACAGTGTGTGTGTGTGTGTGTGTGAATGCACCGATGGTGATACAGTGTGTGTGTGTGTGTGTGTGAATGCACCGATGGTGATACAGTGTGTGTGTGTGTGTGTGTGAATGCACCGATGGTGATACAGTGTGTGTGTGTGTGTGTGTGAATGCACCGATGGTGATACAGTGTGTGTGTGTGTGTGTGTGAATGCACCAATGGTAATACAGTGTGTGTGTGTGTGTGTGTGTGTGTGTGTGAGAGAATGCACCAATGGTAATACAGTGCGTGTGTGTGTGTGTGTGTGTGTGAAAATGCACCGATGGTGATACAGTGTGTGTGTGTGTGTGTGTGTGTGTGTAAATGCACCGATGGTGATAGACTGTGTGTGTGTGTGTGTGTGTGTGTACCTGAGCTGTTGTAGTTGTGTGTGCATGTCGTTGTTCAGTCGCTCCTCCTCGTCTCGTCTCTGTTTGAGCATCTGCTCCTTCAGGACCCTGAAACACACACATCATGTGACCTGTGTGACTGAGACGATGAGTTTATATCAGCATCATGACCATCAGTGCTGGTGCTTCTACAGCACATCTACCCACAATGCAGCAGTGACTGACCGGAGCAACTCAGCACTCTCCTCCTTCATTCGGCGCTCCTCGTCCTCCATCAGAGCCTCTCTGAGCAGCTGCAGTCTCCCCTGTGTCTCCTCCCTCAGTCTGCTCCTCTCCTCCTCCATCTGTCTCTCTGAGTCCTCCAGTCTCTTCCTCTCCTCTTCCTCACGCTTTCTCTTCTCCTCTTCCTCCCTCTCTACTCGTCCCTTCTTCTCCTCTTCCTCCCCCTCTACTCGTCTCTTCTCCTCTTCATCACGCTTTCTCTTCTCTTCCTCCCTCTCTACTCGTCTCTTCTTCGCCTCTTCCTCCCTCTCTACTCGTCTCTTCTTCTCCTCTTCCTCCCCCTCCACTCGTCTCTTCTCCTCTTCCTCACGCTTTCTCTTCTCCTCTTCCTCCCTCACTCGTCTCTTCTTCTCCTCTTCCTCCCTCTCTACTCGTCTCTTCTCCTCTTCCTCACGCTTTCTCTTCTCCTCTTCCTCCCTCTCTTCTTGTCTCTTCTTCTCTTCTTCATCACGCAACACATGCCTGATAAAAGTCACAAATCATCATTATTATCAATAATTAAAACTAAAACATTAAAAACACATAAAAAAAGTACTTTTCATTATGAATAAACTTTAAAAATAAAATAAATATGAACTGAAATAGTTACAAACTGCATATTTTGACTTGCCGTTCTGGGCTCCTTATGCTCAGAAATAATCATCGAATATGAGAGTTTGTGGTTTGAAGCTAAATACAATACTGCTTGTATTGTATCTACAATACTAAATACAATTCACTTATTGGACTGATCAGTGCTCCTGCTCATCCTTAACTTATACCATCATCATCATCATCATCACACACCTGTCTGCAGAGTCAGAGACATCCACACAGCTGTCCACATCTGCCTCGCCCTCGGCTTCCTTCCTGTCCTAAGAGACGCACACACACACACACACACATTTTTATATTCTCATCTCCACAGGTTTAAAGACTCATTTAGTCTCTCTCTGTGTGTGTGTGTGTGAGTGAGTGTGTGTTACCACTGCAGGTGACAGATCCAGCAGATCAAACACATTCTCTGAGAGTTTGGAGCGGAAACCAGCCTGAGGAAACACAAAAAGAATAAAAATAATGACACACACAACATATATACAGTATATATACAGCGGGTAAAATAAGTGTTGAACACGTCACCATTTTTCTCAGTAAATATATTTCTAAAGGTGCGGTTGACATGAGATTTTCACCAGATGTCGGTAACAACCCAAGTAATCCATACATACAAAGACAACAAAACAAATAAGTTCTGTGTAATAACGTGGAATGACACAGGGAACAAGTATTGAACTACTGAAGTTACCACTGCAGGTGACAGATCCACAAACACATTCTCTGAGAGTTTGGAGCGGAAACCAGCCTGAGGAAAAAGAAACACAAAAAGAATAAAAATAATGACACACACAACATATATACAGTATATATACAGCGGGTAAAATAAGTGTTGAACACGTCACCATTTTTCTCAGTAAATATATTTCTAAAGGTGCGGTTGACATGAGATTTTCACCAGATGTCGGTAACAACCCAAGTAATCCATACATACAAAGACAACAAAACAAATAAGTTCTGTGTAATAACGTGGAATGACACAGGGAACAAGTATTGAACTACTGAAAAGTTTTTAATACTTCGTACAAAAGGCTTTGTTGTTAGTGACAGCTGTCTGGAGAAACTAGTGGCATGCATTGCTCAGGTATGAGTTTGGCTCATTCTCCCACACAAACAGTCTTCAAATCTTCAAGCTTCTGTCAGCAGTTATACCGTGCTCGTAGCGTGTGCTCTTCAATCACACGCACAAATACAGCAGTGCGCGCTGTAGCCTGTATCATTTCATATTAAAGCGCTAATGAAACCACGAGCATGCGTGTCAGATCTTAAAGTAATAGCAGCCAAATAACCTAATAACCAGCTGCTGTGATGTCTGTTAATCAAAGAACAAAAAAAAAAAAAAAAAAAAGAGGAAAATCAATCACTTTTGTAGTTTTAAGGATTCATCTATATTTAATTTAGAATTTAGTGTTTGATAACTTCATACAATTTCTGTATATTTCCAACGTGCTGAAGGGCACAGGTAGCTAAATATGATATTTGAGATGGTTTTAAGTTCACTTAAATTAGAAGTGGTTATATTGAAGCTCTCAGTTATACTGTAATGTTGAATGGCTATAATCAATGGTTAAATATTGGGGAAAAAATAACAATTTCTTCGAGACATCAGTAGTATTGGTATCAGTGATACTGGCCTTCAGTCATAAAAAATGACACTAAAATTATATTTTATGTACAGGTGCATCTCAATAAATTAGAATGTCGTGGAAAAGTTAATTTATTTAAGTAATTCAACTCAAATTGTGAAACTTGTGTATTAAATAAATTCAGTGCACACAGACTGAAGTAGTTTAAGTCTTTGGTTCTTTTAATTGTGATGATTTTGGCTCACATTTAACAAAAACCCACCAATTCACTATCTCAACAAATTAGAATACTTCATAAGACCAATAAAAAAAATATATGCTAATGTTTTAAAAGACGTCTCTTCTGCTCAGCAAGGCTGCCTTTATTTGTACAGTAAAAAATGCATGCCCAATTCAAGAAGGGGGTCTTAAAAATGGCCTAAAAATATTATTTTACTAACTTATTCATTGTAAAGGTGACATATCATGAAAATCTGACTTTTCCAGGTGTTAAGTGCTATAATCAGGTCCCCAGTGCATCTACCAACCAAGCAAACATGAGAAAGATGAACCCAGTAACTTTGTTTTGGGAAGCCTTTTTCTGCAAGCGTCTGAGAAAACCAGCGCGTCTGATTTCGCTCTCTTGGTGACGAGGCAAAGGCATCTCATTATAATATTACCACCCTTTCATTTCTTATGGCTTCGGCCAAGAATTTTCATTTCGGTGTATCCCTAATATATATATATATATATATGTATATCACACACATTTTTGATACATTTTTTATTAAGTGTTACAGAAAATAGTTATACAGACATACATAAATAGGAATAAAGTGCAACACACTAAATTTTCCTCATTTTAAATGCCATCCCAACCACCCACAGCGACCATCAAAAATCCTTTTCCACTCCCTCTGAATCACATTTTTTAAAATCAATTGACAGCACTAATATACAGTGGGTACAGGAAGTATTCAGACCCCCTTAAATTTTTCACTCTTTGTTATATTGCAGCCATTTGCTAAAATCATTTAAGTTAATTTTCTTTCCTCATTAACGTACACACAGCACCCCATATTGACAGAAAAACACAGAATTTTTGACATTTTTGCAGATTTAATAAAAAAGAAAAACTGAAATATCACATGGTCCTAAGTATTCAGACCCTTTGCTCAGTATTTAGTAGAAGTGTCTCTGAGCTCTTCAGGCAGTTCCTTTGACCTCATGATTCTCATTTGCTCTGACATGCACTGTGAGCTGTAAGGTCTTATATAGACAGGTGTGTGGCTTTCCTAATCAAGTCCAATCAGTATAATCAAACACAGCTGGACTCAAATGAAGGTGTAGAACCATCTCAAGGATGATCAGAAGAAATGGACAGCACCTGAGTTAAATATATGAGTGTCACAGCAAAGGGTCTGAATACTTAGGACCATGTGATATTTCAGTTTTTCTTTTTTAATAAATCTGCAAAAATGTCAACAATTCTGTGTTTTTCTGTCAATATGGGGTGCTGTGTGTACATTGAGGAAAAAAAATTTACTTAAATGATTTTAGCAAATGGCTGCAATATAACAAAGAGTGAAAAATGTAAGGGGGTCTGAATACTTTCCGTACCCACTGTATATATATGTATGTATGTGTGTGTGTGTGTGTCTGTTGATGAGGTCATACCTGCACATTATCAGCGGATGAGTGCGACGCTGCTGCTTCACCGTCCTCAGACTCCTGTCACAGAACAGGACACAACATCAGACACACGTACATCAGCTCACACACACAGATAACACACACAGCAGTATGAGGAGAGGATGCTGGGAGATTCAGCTCTGCTGCAGAGAGGAGCTCTGACTGGCTTAAACTAGTCAGTCATCTAATTTCTTTCTTCAAGACTGCTCATTACATAAAAGGCTAAATTGGTCTGATTAGCTCTTGACTAACGGCTAGACTAGTTCTTAAAGTATTTGCACACCGAGTCCGAAAATATAGTCTGAAATTTTCGCACGTTAAAAAATAAATACGACGTCATGTTGTGTCAATCACGTTTACACACTGCCTCTGAAACTTTCGTCCTTCATAAAAAGAAATTCGGATAAGGTTCGATTTTCTGCGTTTTCGCATCTGTAGCAAGAATTTTGATAGGAAAGGATGATGGATACAAAAAAATGCATACAAAAATTTCGGACTCAGTGTGCAAGGACCTTAAGTAACTGTTTATGCAGCGGATCTGATCCTGCACAACGACTGTTCCTGATAGGTGCTCTTGATGTCACATGACTGTGCTGAGACACACCTCCTCTCTGCAGTGACACACACCGACACACAAACACTAAACGAACGAATCACTGAACGAACGAATCACTGAATCAGAGGTTCCAGAGGTGATTCACGCATCCCCAAACAATCACAGACTCCAGTGCTGCATGTGTTGTGTGGGACGGAGTGAAGCACCTAAACACAGGCGGGAGGGGCGGAGCATATGGGGTGGGCGGGGCTTGGCGAACAGGGGCGGGGCACTCAGTCCTACCTCACTGGACACTGGATTCCACTGAGGCACAAACTTCCCTGCTTTAACGCGAGTTACTTGAAGGCGAGAGCTGTTACTCTGAAAGCCGTCGCTCTGAGCCTCCGAGACGAGTCCTTCAGTCTCTCTCTGCTCTTCCTCACGTTTATCCTCCTCTGCCTCACTCTCTTTCTCCTCCTCCTCAGAGGAAACACTTCTGACGGCCTCTGCTTCTCCGTTGTGTGTGTCAGCCTGTTCTTCTCTTTCAATCATCTCTTCTTCCATGTTTCCATCATCTTTGCTTTCTGTCGGATCTCCTCCTCCTGTTCTCTCCTCCATCGCGTTCTTCTCCTCCTCCTCAGGACTCTTGAATCTCTCGATCTGTTCATCACACTCCTCACTCTCTGTGTTGTGCATCTCTTCATCTCTGATCCGTCCGTTCTCTTCTACGCTTCCTTTCCTTTCTTCTTCTTCTGTTGTCTCCTTCTCTTCAGGACTCTTAAATCTCTCAATCGGTTCATCAACTTCATCAATCTCTTCTTGTCTGTGTTTTTGGTTCTCCGTCTCTTCGTCTCTGTTCTCTTCTTCCATGTTTCCATCATCTTTACCCTCAGTCTGATCTCTCTCGTCTTCTTTTTTCTCCTCTATCACGTTCCTCTCCTCCTCCTCAGGACTGTTGAATCTCTCGATCTGTTCATCGACCTCCTCGCTCTCTCTGTTCTCGGTCTCTTCGTCTCTGATCTGTCCATTCTCATCTTCTCGGTTTTCTTCATCTTTTCTCTCTTCTTCAGTTCTCGCCTCCGTCCGGTCCTTCTGTTTCTCCTCAGGACTGCTGGATCTCTCAATCTGCTCTTCGATCTCCTCATCGTTCTCGGTCTCTTCATCTCTGATCGGTGCGTTCTCCTCTTCGCTCATCTGTTCGTCTTCCTCTCGGCCGCTGGACGCCGCAGCATCCGGGGTCAGAGGTCGTGAAGCTGCTGTGGAACGGAGGTGACGTCCACACAGCGAGTCCTTACAGTGGAGGGATGCAGTTAGAGACAGACGGACAGACAGACAGACAGCTGTGAGGTCACATGCAAATCCCTCAAACAAACAGGCATATTATTAACAAAGACACACAGAAAAGCTGCAGAGAGGAGCAAAAGAGAGACAGACAGAGAGACAGACAGGTACCTCTGAAGGCGCCTCTGGACTGTGATCCCTCGACAGGGCCAAATCCTGTAGTTCAGGTTCTGTTCTTTCTTCAGGAGGAACCGTCACACTGACCTCACTGTCCTGAAACACACACACACTCGCAGTCAAAGCTGCGGACACACCAAGTGGCAACCTCCCGCTCTCTCTTATGAAGCCAACATGAAAGTGACTTAAACTGTAATTCGTCAACTGGCCGCTAGAGGCTGGCTGCAAAAGGGAGTCAGTCCCATAGACTCCTCATGTTAAAATGCCCAACTTTACAGCAGAAAAAAACATGTTTACAGCCTGGTTCAAAAAATAATTTTGGTCTATATAGCTAATTTTGCCCTTCATGACAACTGTGAGGGGGTGAATTGTTTTATAACTCATCCGTTTAAATTATATTAAGCCTTAAAGTTCTGCATAATTAAGGGCGTGGCCTCTTGAGTGACAGGTGGATTGCCGCTGCTGTCACCGCCGTCGAGCTAGGTGGGCGTGGTTTCAGCAACCAGCTCCCGCCTCTTTGCCCATTTTCGATTATCCGGAAGTGATGCACAGTTACGCGACGGCCGGCTCCACCCACTTTAGGCTTCAGAAACGCTCTTCGGAAAACTACGGGTGACGTCACGGACACTACGTCCATGTTTTTATACAGTCTATGGGACACACTGACTGAAGCAGTGTCCGAAACCGCTCCCTATCCCCTATATGGTGCACTCTATCAGGTGTCGGCCCTTTTGTAGAGCTGTCTGAATTCTGAGCGAACGCAGCGGCGGAGCCTGGATGTTTTCATAGGCGTGGCCAGCAACCAGTCTGGGGTGGCACAGAAATCTTCATTATTTCAATATAAACATTAGGGCTGCCCCCTAATAGTTCATTAACCGTTAGTCGACCATGATTTTATTAGTTGCAGAATTTAAAAAAAATAAAAATCCACATTGGCGAATTCACGCAGATCGTTAGCAGCTGGACTATGTGGTAATACAGTACATCGAGCAGGACATCCAAACGCTCGCCTATCATTCATCAACCTCAAATATAGCTTATCATCTGAAATATGTTAGTAGCAGCATCTTTACATGGCCGCTCAATCTAATGTTAACCTAATCTTAACCTACTCTGTCGTCTTTGCTCATACAGATAAGAGTAATAGATGTTTCGAATCAGTAAAGACTCTACGTTTATTTGTGTGCACTCACAATAACAACAAAACATTGAGCTTTTGTAAAATAATGAAAGCAACAGGATGCACTTTCTGCCGTCTCGGTCTCCGTGAACTTGAGCGCGAAACTCTGTGTGAACCTTCTTTACAGACATGAAAAATATATCTAGAGAGCGAAATGTCTACTTTCAAATAATCCAATTCAAGTGGAAAACAAATATTCTCAGATGATGTAATCCGTATGAAACATGAAGACAGGCGCATCACTACTGCGGAGATGACGAGTCTTGACTTCATCTCTTAAACCGGGAACAAAGAAAGCACTAGTTTAGCAATAAATTATTAAACTGTTAATGCAGACTCCTTACTGTTTTTCCTGACACGTTCATAATTATTACTTCTGCGGTGTGCCGTGGCAAGCTTTGCGTGTGTGCTTGAGTGCTTATTATATGTAGGCTATTAAAGGCTCATTATAATGATTTAAATGGTTTATTAATAAACATGCGATTAGTCGACTAATGCTTCAAACGAATGACTACTAGTCGACCAGAAAAATCTTCAGCCCAAATAAAAATGTGTTTGACTATAAAGTACTAGACTGTCTTAGTGCCTAAAACACAACTGAATACAATACATTTCTACTTAATTGTAATTTGTGACAATTTGTAACAATTTGTGTATTATTCCTGACCTCCAGGTATTTTAATAAAGGGGCTCACTATAGCTTTATTACTCAAAACCCCCAAAAGCCTGTTCTCCAACATTGCATATTCATGGATGAGACATGCAGATAGTGATAAGAATGTGAAAAAGGCCAGAAGTCAGCAGTTATTTTATGCATTTAAATGGTTTCATTATCGTTTTTACTTTACAAATTAACGGGAAAAAAATATGCGCATATTTTCTAGCATAAGTGCACTGTGCTCACATTTACTCGTGCATTAAATTACAAATAAAAATATACATAGCAGCTTGCGCCTTATATTATGATCTCGAATTGCAGAATATATTTTAGTACATGCATTTGAGAGACGTTCTATAATGTGATGCATATATACATACATGAATGCAGCAACTGACACTTTATGCTCTACTTTAACCTCTTGTCTAGATGATATTTGTCCTCTCTCCTCCAGGCCAGCACGGGCTGCCCCCTCGAACTCCTGGTCTGGAACGATCTTCCCACCGCTATCCAGAACGCTGAATCCCTGACAATTTTCAAGCGACAGCTGAAAACTCATCTCTTTCGAAGCTACTTGACTTCATCATAAAAAAAATTAAAAATAAAAAAAAAACTCTTTATTTATTCCTTCTCTTTCTAGCTTGTACTTATTTGAACAATGTCTAAGAACTTGGTATTACAACCACTTCTTGTGTCTGTTTGCCTCTCTTAAGAAGAATCGCTTTATGTATCCCCCAATTGTAAGTCGCTTTGGATAAAAGCGTCTGCTAAATGACTAAATGTAAATGTAAATGTAAATACATGCATGCACAGTTTGCAGCTTTAATAGCCTTTTTGGTAATTTCATAACTTAACTGATGACAATTACAACTACATTGTATGCTCATAGTTTCTTGTGCGCTGTATTTATGATGAAGCGATATAGAGCGTGCTCCTCATATTCGCGTAAAGTTGAAGAGTGTGTGCCATGAGCACAGTAAGATGGCTGACAGGACAGGAAAGTTTGTTTTACTGACAAACTAAACCGACGAGCTGGAAGAGAGAGAGCGGGAGCGAGCGAGCGAGTTTGAATGAGAGATGACGTTTACATCTTTCTTATTTCTGCTTTAACGTTTATTTCATGGATTATTAATATTAAAACATTATGTAGGCATCAACACACACAGAACGAATATTTATCACATTTGAGGGACATCTATCAGCGTTGCACTCGCGTCTCGCACAAGAGCTGCATGTTTAGAAAGCCATGCAAAATTAATGTAAGTTCAACTTTTAAAAAAACATATCTCGAGACTTTATGGCGGTTTTTCCCATCCCACTGTATCTCATGTTTTTAAATTTAAAAAGTCATTTTTTTCAAATGGGTTTAAGTCCTTCATTTTAAACTATACAAACATGATGCTGTTTTGTTTCTAATTGTTTAAGCAACTTAATTTATGAACATTATATGTGTCCCTGCAGCACAAAAGCAGTGTTAAGTCGCTGGGGGATATTTGTAGCAATAGCCAACAATACATTGTATGGGTCACAATTATACATTTCTCTTTTATGCCAAAAATCATTAGGATATTAAGTAAAGATCATGTTCCATGAAGATATTTTGTAAATGTCCTACTGTAAATATATCAAAACTTAATGTTTGATTAGTAATATGCATTGCTAAGAACTTCATTTGAACAACTTTAAAGACGATTTTCTCAATATTTAGATTTTTTTGCACCCTCAGATTCCAGATTTTCTAATAGTTGCATCTCTATCCTAACAAACAATTTAATTTTAAAAATGTGACCCTTATAACTGGTTTTGTGGTCCATGGTCACATTTGAAACATTATGCACCTTTTTCAAAGATAGTCTTGTTATTTTATTGCTTTGAAGAAACATATTTTGCTCGATGCGCCCTCTAGTGGCCTCAGGAGAGAAGCCAAAAGCTTTTTTCCCCCCTAACTGAAAATATACCTTTTAAATTCAAATATAATTCGAATATTGATAATATTTAAGTACAAGATTCAAATGTAGTTTTTCAGCCATTCTGACAGCCCTGCAGTGCTATGGAGTAGAGTCAGACTGATGTGCATTCATGTGCTGTGTTTGTGTTCACCTCGTACTGCAGCCCTGATCCCAGAGCATCCAGATCCAGATGGAGGTTCTGCAGGAGTCCGGCTGAATCCCGCGGCCTCTAAACACACACACACACACACACACACACAGATCTGATTCAGCGTTCAGTGGGACTCAGGCAGTGTGTGTGTGTGTGTGTGTGTTTCAGACTCACCTCTTCCTCAGAGACCTCCTCGTCTTCATCAGTGCTCCTCTCCTCTTGAACGCTCCTGGAAGCAGCAGAGCTCGACACGCCAGCCTGATGCACAGAATCCAATTCAAAACCCAAAACACAGGTCACACTCACAACTCCAATACATTTGTGCTGTTTTACCCCGAGAGACGTTTTGAGCGGCTGGAGTCCAGACGAGGCACCCAGAGATCTCAGAGACCTCCTCGTCTTCATCAGCGCTCCTCTCCTCTTGAACGCTCCTGGAAGCAGCAGAGCTCGACACGCCAGCCTGATGCACAGAATCCAATTCAAAACCCAAAACACAGGTCACACTCACAACTCCAATACATTTGTGCTGTTTTACCCCGAGAGACGTTTTGAGCGGCTGGAGTCCAGACGAGGCACCCAGAGATCCTCTGAGAGGAGCGACAGGAGCCTCAGACAGACCGCGGAGAGGAGCGAGAGGAGCCAACAGCTGCAGACAGAGACAGAGATCACACAGATCATCACCTGCTATTCAAAACATTTTTTGTCTCTTCTGCTCACCAAGGCTGCATTTATTTGACTGAAATACAGTAAAAATGCTGAAACATTATTAAAATTTAAAGCAGCTGTTTTCTGTGTGAATATGTGTTAAACTGTAATGTATTTCTGTGATGTGCAGCTGTATTTTCAGCATCATTCCTCCAGTCTTCAGTGTCACATGATCTTCAGAAATCAGTATAATATGCTGATCTGCTGCTCGAGAAACATTTTCTATGTTGAAAACATTTTTTTGGAAACCACGATACATTACTGTTCAAAAGTTTAGGGTCAAAAAATTTAATTTTTATTAATCAAGGATGCATTAAATTGATCAAAAGTGCCAGTAAAGACATTTATCAAATGTATAATATACGACTGAAAATACAGCTGCGCATCACAGGAATAAATTACAGTTTAACAGATATTCACATAGAAAACAGCTGTTTTAGATTGTAATAATATTTCACTGTTTTTACTGTATTGTGATCAAATAAACACAGCTCTGCTGAGCAGAAGAGGCTTCTGAACGCTGCTGAATGTTCCTGTAAGATGTTCTCACCCCTGGAACTCTGACTTCCTGTGTTTTTTTCTTCTTGTCTTTCTTGTCCTTCTTCTTCTTCTTCTCCTTGTCTCTCTTCACGGCGGTCGGAGCAGCTCTAGCGTGCTGGTTGCGCTCGCGCTCCTGCTCCACCAGCTGGCGGTAGTGTTCATCACACGGATGATCCCAGGTGGACTGACCCGAGGAGAAGTTGAAGTAGTACACCTCACCGGTGACGTCCTGACTGAACACACACACACAGAGAGTCACTTCCTGTCTCCACATAAACGTGTGTGTACGTGCGTGAGAGTGAGTGTGTGTGTGTGTGTGTGCGTTTTTGTGACAAATGAGGACAAAATTTGTATAATGACAAAGGTATGACATAGGTATTACAAGGAGAAGGTGACTTTTCAGGACATTACCCCATGTCCCCACTTTTCAAAACGCTTATAAATCGTTTATTGAAAATCTGAAATAGCACAAAGTTTCCTGTGAGGGGTAGGTTTAGGGGTAGGGTTGGTGTAGGGCAATAGAATATACGGTCTGTACAGTATAAAAACCATTATGCCTATGGAGAGTCCCCACTTTTCACAAAAACAAACCTGTGTGTGTGTGTGTGTGTGTGTGAGTGAGTGAGTGAGAGCGTGCATGCATGCGTGAGTGTGTGATTGTGTGTGAGTGTGCGAGTGACTGAGCGAGTGAGCGTGAGTGTGAGTGAGTGTGCGATTGTGTGTGAGTGAGTGAGCGAGTGTGTGAGTGTGCGAGTGAGTGACCATGTGTGTGAGTGAGTGAGCGAGTGAGCGTGAGTGTGATTGAGTGTGCGATTGTGTGTGAGTGAGTGAGCGAGTGTGTGAGTGTGCGTGTTAGCGAGTGAGTGTGCGTGTGTGCGTGCGCGTGCGAGTGAGTGTGCGTGCGAGGGAGTGTGCGTGCGAGGGAGTGTGCGTGCGAGTGAGTGTGCGAGTGCGTGCGAGTGAGTGTGCGTGCGGGGGTGCTAGTGAGTGAGTGAGTGAGTGAGTGCGTGTTTGAGTGTGAGTGTGCGTTCGTGCGAGTGAGTGAGCGCGTGCGAGTGAGTGTGCATGCGTGCGTGCGAGTGAGTGTGCGTAACAAACCTGTGTGTGTGTGTGTGTGTGTGAGTGAGTGAGTGAGAGCGTGCATGCATGCGTGAGTGTGTGATTGTGTGTGAGTGTGCGAGTGACTGAGCGAGTGAGCGTGAGTGTGAGTGAGTGTGCGATTGTGTGTGAGTGAGTGAGCGAGTGTGTGAGTGTGCGAGTGACTGAGCGAGTGAGCGTGAGTGTGAGTGAGTGTGCGATTGTGTGTGCGTGCGTGCGAGTGAGAGTGAGTGAGTGAGCGCGTGCGAGTGAGTGAGCGCGTGCGAGTGAGTGAGCGCGTGCGAGTGAGTGAGCGCGTGCGAGTGAGTGAGCGCGTGCGAGTGAGTGAGCGCGTGCGAGTGAGTGAGCGCGTGCGAGTGAGTGAGCGCGTGCGAGTGAGTGAGCGCGTGCGAGTGAGTGAGCGCGTGCGAGTGAGTGAGCGCGTGCGAGTGAGTGAGCGCGTGCGAGTGAGTGAGCGCGTGCGAGTGAGTGAGCGCGTGCGAGTGAGTGAGCGCGTGCGAGTGAGTGAGCGCGTGCGAGTGAGTGAGCGCGTGCGAGTGAGTGAGCGCGTGCGAGTGAGTGAGCGCGTGCGAGTGAGTGAGCGCGTGCGAGTGAGTGAGCGCGTGCGAGTGAGTGAGCGCGTGCGAGTGAGTGAGCGCGTGCGAGTGAGTGAGCGCGTGCGAGTGAGTGAGCGCGTGCGAGTGAGTGTGCGTGCGTGAGAGTGAGTGTGCGTTCGTGCGAGTGAGTGAGCGCGTGCGAGTGAGTGTGCATGCGTGCGTGCGAGTGTGTGAGCGTGCGTGAGAGTGAGTGTGCGTGCGTGTGCGAGTGAGTGAGCGTGCGTGTGCGAGTGAGTGTGTGCGTGCGAGTGTGCGAGTTAGCGTGCGTGCGTGCGTGTGAGTGTGCGTGCGAGTGAGTGTGCGTGCGTGCGTGCGTGCGAGTGTGCGTGCGAGTGAGTGTGCGTGCGTGCGAATGAGTGAGTGAGCGCGTGCGAGTGAGTGCGCGTGCGAGAGTGAGTGTGCGTGCGTGCGAGTGAGTGTGCGTGCGAATGAGTGAGTGAGCGCGTGCGAGTGTGCGTGTGCGAGTGAGTGAGTGAGCGAGCGTGCGCGAGTGAGTGCGTGTGTGAGAGTGCGTGTGTGCAAGTGAGTGAGTGCGTGTGTGAGAGTGAGTGTGCGTGTGTGCGAGTGAGTGTGCGAGTGAGTGTGCGTGCGAGTGAGTGTGCGTGCGAGCGAGTGTGCGTGCGAGTGAGTGAGCGAGTGCGTGCGAGTGTGCGTGCGTGCGAGTGTGCGTGCGAGTGTGCGCGAGATGCGTGTGCGAGTGAGTGTGAGTGCGTGTGTGAGAGTGCGTGCGTGCAAGTGAGTGAGTGAGTGAGTGCGTGCGTGCTAGTGAGTGAGTGAGTGAGTGAGTGCGTGTTTGAGTGTGAGTGTGCGTTCGTGCGAGTGAGTGAGCGCGTGCGAGTGAGTGTGCGTGCGTGCGCGAGTGAGTGCGTGAGAGTGAGTGTGCGTGCGTGCGTGTGCGAGTGAGCGTGCGTGTGAGTGAGTGAGTGTGTGTGCGTGCGAGTGTGCGTGCGTGCGTGTGCACGTGCGAGTGCGCGTGCGAGTGAGTGTGCGTGCGAGTGAGTGTGCGAGCGAGCGAGCGTGCGTGCGAGCGAGCGAGTGTGCGTGCGTGCGAGTGTGCGTGCGCGCGCGAGTGAGTGTGCGTGTGTGAGTGAGTGTGCGTGCGTGCGTGTGTTACCATGGTTTCCACTCGGCTGGAAGCGGCGCCACCATCCCCTCTCTGGCCAGCCACAGCAGTTCGGGCTCACGCTCCGGGTCGATACCGATCTCGATGGCGTACTCGTGGATCTCTGACACACACACACACACACACACACACAAACGGGCCGTCAGCACCTCACTCCAAACCTCTATGACTGACTTTCTTCAGTGAAACTCAGAAGACATTGTGAAGAACGTTGAGCACCAAACAACAACATTGGACCCATTAAATGGCTATTATATTGACTATCATTACATGAACAAAACCATTTCTCACAATATCTGCTTTTGTCTTCACTCATACAGGTTCAGAACATCATGAGTAACTGAAGACAGAATGATCATCTTTAAAGTGAAATTCATCAAAACATTCAGTCATTTCAGTACGAATGTATTTTTCATAAACATGTGCGCGTCACATTTCAAAATAAAAAGAAACTATACTTTACATAAAGTCAGTTGTAGGACACTAATGACATTATTTTAATGACAGTTATTCATGACAAATTCTAAGTACTGCAATAAGACAAAAATAATACATTATTTGAATTGTGAAGTATTTATAAGTCATAGTATTATTTGTTGTATTTATTTTGCTGTTCAAGACCAGTATTAATCTGGTATCACTGAGATACTACAATAGTTTTTATTTTTATAGTTTCCATTTGCATTTTATGTTTTGTTATTTTTTTGCATTTTTGTGAGTTGTTTTATTAAATCTCTAAATAGTTTTTAAAAAGTTTTATTTCAGTTTTGGTTGTAGTTATTTTAGTACATCACAGTTGTGGATGGTGTTCATGAAGACATGAGGGTCACAGCGTGTGTGTGTGTCTGTGTCTGTGTGTCTGTCTGTGTGTGTGTGTGTGTGTGTGTGTCTGTGTCTGTGTGTCTGTCTGTG